AGCATTTCTTAATGCTGGTCAGTAATGAAAAAAAAACCCTTCTTCTGGGTTTGCACACAGATAAATGTCTATTTCTGTCCAAATCCAGAGGGTGGTTGTGTCACGTGGTTTTATGCTGACTGAAGTCCATCTTAAAATCCTCTGATTTAAGGGAGGAGAACAGGGGATTCTTCTGTTGTGAGTCATCTTTATATCAGAGCTTGATCATGCTTCTAGTGATGTCGGCAGGAGTTTTCCGACTGAGTTTCTTGATTGAATGTTTTTTCAGTGTTATAGAGTGCTACTAATTTAAATTTGGAGTCACCCTAACAGCTGTGAATGGCACCTCACATGCCCCATACCTGTTAAGGAAGAACAACACCCATTTGCCTCGTCCCTACTGACTGACTCCAATGCATCACTAAAATATCCTGTAAGATCATCCGTTAACTGCTCTTCTAGATAATATTTGTAAGCCATACACTTAAAATGCTGTTCATTGCTAATCACCAGTTGAATGCGACCCTTTAGTATACGGTCTTTAAAAAAAAATAAATCTTACGGACGCAAGAATGGAAGAACCCTCCATAGGTACTGTTTGCCTGTGTGTGCCTGAAATGCTTTATTTTGGGTGTTATTAACGTAGAAGATGATGATGAGATGCAAAACTTTGCATAAAAATGTTGCTAGAGTAAAATCTGTTTTGTACCATACTAGAATACAGGCCTTCTCCCTAATTACATTTCAGTTGACTGAAGAAAAATTTAAAAATCCAATGTGTTTAAGGGAGCCAGGTCGGGCTCTCACAATGGACGTCTGTTTCTTGTACTTTGCTGCAAATCCTGTGATGTTTGAAGGTTTGTAATTGTTTTTAAAACACAGCTGCTTTCACTGGAATTTTAAAAATAGAGTGAGTGTGTTACTCTGACAGATGAGTGCTGTTATCTGTCTGCCTGCTTGGATCTCAGTTGCCGGAGGTCATTCCTGAGCTGGGAAAAAGTATGTAAAAAGACTTGGGAATGGAGTCCAACCTCTGTTGGTGTATCCAGGACACATAGGTGGAAGCTGCAGTGTATGGAAGTGGCGGCCTTGATTGTCTGCAGCTTCTGTCCTGCAAGCACTGCGACTTCTCTGAAGCACATCAGGGCCCTTGTGTCCAAGAGGAATTCCAGCTCTGTTGGCTGTTGAGCTGAATTTTTTTTTAGTCAGTTTGTTGTGATCAAAACACTTGAGGATATTTGGTCTCAGGAGGTGGAGATTTCTACATGGGAGACTGAGCTGAGTTGTTGGAATGTATTGCACATTATCCACCAGATGGTTTCCAGCCGCTTTGGTTTGATCTGTGTTTGATAGTGATGAAGATATGAAAGTCATGTATTCCGCCAGCATTGCTTACATGAACTGGCACGTCCCGGGCAGCACAGGCTTGGCTTCTGGCAGCAACGACCCCTGCAGAATGCAACTGAGAGCTTAGTTCCCTCTGTGCTCCTCTCTGTCTTTGCAGCACCAGCATCCTCTAGGTCGTGCCACTGGCTGGTGTGGGTGCAGCTGTCCTGGCTTGTACCATGCAGTATTTGGTCCAAGCCTCCCTTGGGATGCTCGCCTCCTCCCCTCCGTGGAACCAGCACTCCTGCAGAGTTGCAGCTGCTGTTGTAGAAAGAGCGAGGACCGTGTGTGCACAGACGTTTTGTGCTCGCAGGTACATTGTGACCGTCTGGCTGGTCGGCAGGTTGCTCTTGTAGGAGTTGGTTTGATCTTAGGAGACAGGGAGCTGGCAGAAACAGCAGCCCGTGGGTCTCTGTTGTTTTTTTTGTTGGTTGTTTTGCTGCTTTAAAATCTGAAGATGGGTTTCAGTTAGGCAGCTGCTCTCAAGTCACGGTGTCGTTCAGAGTAATTGACTTTCCATTGACTTTGGAATTTGGAATAGTGTCTAGATACTGTTGTCAGCTTCATGCTGCTGCTTCTCCACTGAGCCTAAAGTCGTTTTGCTTATGACATCAAGCTGAACTTGTGCTTTGCTCCCATGGGAACTAAAAATAATAATTATTTTAAGAATAGGTTCTTAATCACTTCCTTCTTTTGATGCACTACTTTTGTTTAGCGTTTTGTAAGAATGTGATAGAAAATATTTTAAACTATCTGTGTTTTAATTCCAGTTTAATTGGCTCTTTGAAGATGCAAAGAGCGTATAAGAATTAATTACAGTTACTTTTATTTTTTTTAGAAAAGCATTTGTTTTTGTTATGGTGAGTGAAGATTATTAGAGTTTTGTTGCTTTGGCAAACTGTACAGTCACACAGAGCTATGAAGAGATGAACGTTGAATTGACAGGTTTCTTAGTCAAAGGCATGTGGGCGTTTTGTTAGTGTTGGTGATGCATCAGCACGTTAAAGCTCCTGTCTCTGAATTGCTAATGTACATATGAGAAACAGAAGAAGATGTGCTTTACTCTCAGTTTAGAAGGAATGATTAGACAAGGTAGGCACTGATTCTGAGGCAGAGCTGGCTGCGCAGTGAACACTGGGAAGGTGATGAGATAATATGCAGGGATGGGGAAAATATTAAACAGATGGAGATCTGCTGTCCGCCCTGACCCACAGCAGCTGGGTAACAGTGAGATAAAATGCTTAATTTGGAGATCTTTCCATAAACTGAAAGAGTCTTGAAACTTAGAAGTGGGGTTTTGGGAGATGTATTTCAGAGTGCCATATGGGCCAAAAAAAAAAATATCCAGAAGGGCTTTCCTAGACTTCAGTGAGCATACAAAGTGTGGTTGTACTGAGGGTCCTAGAGCCCAGCTACAGAGAATAACACAAGGACATTAATAATTGTTTTTCCTATTCCTTGCTAATAGTTTACGTGGTTTACTATTACTTCCAGTCAGTGAAGTTGCTTGCTCCAGCTAGTCTGCTTGCCTTAGAGGGAGCCAGTGTTCTATTTCATGTACCAAATTTGTTTGTACTTCATGTCTTCTCAAGCACCAGTCCCAAAGGCTACAGCAGAGCCTCGCAGCATAGCCTAGAGGGCTCAGCAGACAGCCCACACCCTGATGGGCAGCCGAGCGTGGACCGTGCCGAGCACAGGACTCACAAGCTTGTCACTTGTCTGCTCTCTCGCTGCTGTGAATTGTCCTTTTAGTGCAGTTGGTACCTGGTCTCTACACCCGCTTCCCTGTGCGTGCAAAAGCGTTCAAGGTGATTTTTAAAGAGGATGGGGAGGAAAAAAAATAGACTGTTGGGCAGCAGCTCACCTGATGGTGATTTAACCTGTTGCTACAACTGGCATTATACGTAGTAGTAAAATAGAAAGAGCAGAGCTGGCTTTTCTTTACCTGTCACTTGGCTGAGGTCTGGCAGTTGCTCAGCTGGTGCTGTTGTGGTTGTGGGAATACCTGAGTGGTAACAGCAGTTGTGGTGCTGGCGAGGGAGAAAGAAATGATGAGCCAAATACTTGAAGAAAGTGGTAGTTTAATATCCTACTATTAGCAGCTCTGGCATTCTGCCTTCTTTTGTGTAGGCTGCGAGGACTTTTTACTTGTTTGTAATATTACAAGTTTTCTTTAAAAAGAGCCGCTATCAGGAGGTTTCCCAGTCCTAGTAGGAAACGGGGAATCAGCAGTTCTTCAGCTTCAGGCCTGCCTCTGCATGGCCTTGGGCAAGTGAAGGGAAGTGCCTGGCGCTTCTGTAGGATGTGCTTCCTATTCTCACAGTGAGTTTAGAGCTTAAGTGTAAAACAGGGACTCTAAAGGAAGAATAATTCATCTCTCTGAGTTCATTTGTACTGAATGTGTGATAGCAAATATACAGGGCCTGAGCACAGGTCAGTTATAATAGATATGTCTCTAGTGCCACTGCAATTCATGGTAGAAGTTGCTCCTGATTGACCTGGTGCTGGGTGATCTGAGAGGACAAAGTGTTTGGAGGTGATGTTGCTCCTGTCACTCGTTTGTATACTCTTCACCGCAGAAGACCTTAACTCTTGACCTGATGCTCATAATGTTTCAAGATGAACCTGTGCCTTTGCGTGTGTCGTATTGATTGCAGTTTGTATTGCTGCTCCGCTGCCGTTGTAGCAAGGATGCACAAACAACATGAGGAGACATAAACTAGGAAAATGTATAGCTAAAACTGCAAAAAACGAGGGGGAGAACATGGGGCTAGGCACAATACCTATACTTTAATGTGTAACTTGAAATTTACTACATTATGAATGTTTCTTACTTCCTCTGCTCTGTCAGTAGTATGGATTAATGAGTCATAAAAGTGTGTTTTAAGGGCTGGGTAGTTTTTGTTTATGCAGTGCTTACTGGAATCCCTGTTGTTTCTTCCTTTTTCCTTCCACCTCCTTCCCATCTCCCAAGGTTGTTCATACATGAGCTGTTTCTCTTTCCAGCCTTCCATTTTCTTGGAAGAAAGTTACTATTTCTAGCCTGTTGGCGATGCTTTGTGCCCAGCTGTTTACCAGCATTGTAGAACTGGTGGGTGATGGTGTTTCTTGGGCCAGAACTGGCATTTCATTCTTCCTTTCCAGTGTTACCAGCCTGGGAAATCAAATGGAACTGTAGAAATGAACTTGTGTTGACTTCATCCAGTTCCTTGGCAAAATCCAAGCTAAAACTATGTATGGCCAAACATGGAAAAAACCTCTGGGCCAGAGTTTGGGCTTCATTTTCAGCAATCTTGTTCTCAGTTGATGGAAGCATAGGCTGGCGTTTGAGAAGGTGGGATACTGGCAAGGAGAAAAGTGTGGGTGAAATGAGTTTCGGTCCTGCTAAAGATACTTCTGAGACTAGTTGTGACAGTTATTAGCAGGCAGATGAGGAGTCTTGAAAACTGGACTCATCTCTGATACACAGATCAGCAGGCTGTGGACAGCATATGGCAGAAGTTGTCACTGGCCACGTGACACTGTTGCACTTTCTTCTGTTGACAGTTTGGCAGTTTTAGGGGGATGCTTTGTACTGAAAGGAGTGGGAAGAGAGAAACTGAAAGCAGAATGATTTGTGGTCTGTTTTGTTTCAGTGGAAAGCTGGTTTCACCAAAATGGAAAAACTTTAAAGGCTTGAAACTTCAGTGGAGAGATAAAATCCGTCTCAATAACGCCATCTGGAGGGCATGGTACATGCAGTGTGAGTATCATGCTCGGTTGTGCTGCTTGTTATAGTATATTCTGAGAGACATATATGTAAGAAGCAAGAGAATTGAAATTACTGTCTGGTGAAAAGCTCAAAAATCTGCTGCAGGCCTGGAAGTCTTGGAGTCTGTGATGGCAGTGCCATTGGATCGGTGCTGCCTTAGAGATGTCCACACAGAGGCTGTACTGAGTGGTCCAAGCACAGCCTGAGATCTCCCCATGTCCTTTTGGTTATCTGGAAGGAACCCTGGCTAGATTTTAAATTTTTTTTTCCACATCTTGCCATTGAAGCGACAGAGCTCTCTGCAGAGCCAGCACATGCTGAGCACTCGCATCTTCATTCTTGTTTCAGACTTGGAGAAGCGCAAGAATCCAGTGTGCCACTTTGTGACTCCACTGGATGGCTCCGTGGATGTCGATGAACATCGTCGACCAGAGGTGTGTAAAAGCTGAGGAACAGACTAATGAGCTCTGGAGCTTATAACAAGATTTTCTAGTCCGCTAGATATGAGAGCAGCATAGCAATTGGACCCATGCTGTCCTGATCCTTTTGTTGCTGTTAGTATGTGGCCTGCAAGGTCATGCTTCTCCCTGAGCTGGACATCAGATTTCTATTGCTTTGTGTCGTTCTTAGCAGCTTTTGTGTAAGTGTGTGCCTGTTTGTGTAATCTTGTGAAATTCTCTGCCTGTTTTCTGCAGAACAGGGTATTGTATGCTTTATACATTATATTTTAGTAAATTCATTTTAAAGGGTTGGGGTTTTTGCCATTTCTTAACTCTTATGGTTGAGCTGACATGAGAGATGCTGACAGTGCAGTCAGACATCGTCTGTTGTTTGTTTGTTGTGGGAAAGATGAAGTTAGTATTGTCAGATTTGCTCTGTGATAGCTGAACTCTGGGACAGTGTGGGCTGCTGATACATGAGCTCAAACAGAATTAGCATGCTTTCTTTTGCATTTTTTATGCCTGAATATTTGCTTGGAAATTTATTGAATGTTCAGCTGTTATGTGAGTCCGTGTAATTCGTGGTATGTGTTTGTGTTCTCAGGCCATTGCAACAGAAGGGAAATACTGGAAACGAAGAATTGAAATAGTCATCAGGGAATACCACAAGTGGAGAACATACTTCAAGAAAAGGGTCTGTTGGCTTATGCAGTGAAAATAGCTCACTCGAACTTGGATCAGTATGTTGTCGCTTTTTGAGTTTTGATGTCACTTTTGCTAGTATGCAAAACTTTAAACAGATGATAAGCTAGCACAGACATACTCATCTAATTAGTCCCACTAAAAATTATTGTGCAGGGACTAATTGTGCATGATTGGGTCTAAAAGTTTTGCAGAATTAGGTCTTCTACTGGCATATACAAGACCTGTTTTGACTTTTAACATCTGTTTTGTTCTCTTTTTGCAGTTACAGAAACATAAAGATGAAGATCTTTCAAGTTTGGTCAGGGTAGGTCATACCACTGATAAGTGGCAGCATTTATGCCTGTGGAATCTGCCATAAGTAACAAAGCCGAAACGTGCAGTAGCTTGCATTGATTAAAATCTAAAGACAAGCATCTTGCTTAAGCCTTAATTAAGGTTAGACACCTTAGTGTTTCTGCAACTTGGAGAGCAATGTAAGATTTGTAGCTTAAATTGGATGGAGAAGAGGTTAAATGTAAAGTGCTGTGACGGAAGAAATGAGAATCAGTATTGGGTGCCCAGAAAGATCAATCTAGATCAATCTCTTTGAAGGCTGGCACATCATTTCGTCTTATTACTGAGTCGTAACTGGCACTACTGCCTTGCTGGTATAACTGGATCTGGGAAGATGTGTGTGCTACGTGTTGCAGATCTTCCTGTGCAAATAACGTGCCAGGATTCTGAAAAAGGCAAAATGTTTGAAGAAACAATGGTATCACCGTTTAGTATGCCCTCTAAGGCCATCAAACCTACTTTGGGCATATAAACTGACGATCAGAAGCACTGTTCTGATATTTTTTTTTCTTTTTGGAGCTAAGCATAAGTCTGGATCTCCTCCAGTTTCACGAAACTCTTGGCTGTTTTGACTGTGAGCTCTAATGCACCATCGCGGTATGTTGGTGTAGTTACAGCTGCATGTTGGCTCAGCCACAACAACGTGACTATGTGTGCTTCTGGTCTGCAGCAAATGCAAGGCAATGCAATTCAGCTTTGCCTGTAGTGAAGAATGAATAAGCCAAGTCACATTATGTTGTCTTTTTCATGGGCTAAAAGTGCCCACAAGAGTATCAGCATACCTTGTGCGAAGTCAGATTACAATTACACTTAACTACATTTCAGAGATTCAGATACGCTTCAAGATGGGTCTTGTTTGCTTTGAGTTTTTGTTGTGCGTATTGTTTTTAAATCGTTATGCAAACCAAGGGATCGTTAAACTGTACGTGCAAAAATATATGTATAATCAATGAAACTGGAAAATATTGAAGAAGTTATTTTGTCTTATGTCCTTCTAGTCAACATCTGTTTTTTGGGCAAAAACCTTTCTCAGAGTGTTGTGGTATACTGCTGAAGTTTTCTGTTGTTGCCTAAATCAGTGAGCTAAAGTTGGTGTATTAGAAATACTACTGATCTGTTTCAGTCCATTTGCGTGGCTCCTAAAGGAGAGTTTCTTTCTCTAAAAATGTGAAAAATTAAGACTGTATATATCTGCACAAGACTGCTGTAGCATTGTCTAGGCAGCCTCATTTTTCTTCCTTTCCTTTGGCAGGATGATGATGTGGTTCTCTGGCAAAAAAGAAGGTATGGCAGAGAAACCCCTGTCCCTATGGAGGAAGGCAGCCTCTTGGATGCAGATATGCTTATGTCTGAGTTCACCGACACGCTGTTCTCCACACTGTCTTCACATCAGCTGGTTTCCTGGCCAAATTCCAGGGACATAGGTATTTGTTAGCTGTTAGCTGTGTTGCAGTGGGAACCTCTAGGAGAAGTCTGGTTTGTTGCTTTGCTCCTCTTCTAGTCTTACCTAAGAAATTTATCTTACTTTGCTGATACAGATAAAAATAGGTCAGAGAATGTAGCTGTCTTATGCTTTATAGGTTATGGAATCCCAGTTATTCATCCAAGTTAGCCTCTTTCATGCTGCTCCTAGTATTGTCATCTAATGTTGCTCTGAATAAATCTGTAATGGGCAGTATTAGTGGTGAAGGCGTTGTTATTTATCCCAAAGCATATATGTGTGTGTATTTTTAAGGGAGTGCCTATGTATCTTTCTTTGGATATGTCTCTTAGAACAAGTGTAAGTCCCATCTCCTGTAATCCCAAGAGCTATAGCGTTCTGTCGAATGCTCTCTAACTGAAGGCTCTGCCTGTCTAAAGGGACAGCAGATGTCCACTATGCATCACCCTTGCTGCACGGAGGTCCAAGTTGTCTGAGCAACTCCAGAGCAATTGTGGTTTACATGAAGTATCCTTGAGGCAAAACGAAAAGGATGATGCTTTATTTTAAAATACCGTACTATGAGCTGTGGTGGTTCAGGTTGTGCTTCCTGGCAAGTTTGTGTTGTGCAGCAGGGGCAGGACAGGAGGTTTGGGAGGAGGAGGCAGCCAAGCTTGGTAATCCATGATTGTTAGTTGGAGCCTTCACGTTTCACCTCTTCTGTTTTGCTAGTTGAAAGTTTCATTCCCCAGTGGTTTTGATTTCAGAACTGTGCTGTAGTTCCGAAGAAAAGCAGATGTTCAGTTCATTTCAGCAGCAGTTTTTCTGTGAGCACCCTGGCCAAGCCTGGCTGTGGAGTGTGTGTTGGTGTTCTAGCCAAATGCTGTATTCCTACCACTGTTACTGTGTGAGTGATGTGAAGCTAATGTAATCTATCTCCTGAATTTTGCAGCACACTTAGGAAATGCTGACATGATTCAACCAGGGCTTATTCCTCTCCAGCCAAATTTTGATTTTATGGATACTTTTGAGCCTTTTCAGGGTAAGAGTCATATATACAGTCAATTAATTTCTTTAGAATTACAGTGATTTATGACTTAGAGTTTTTAACAGAAGGTTAAACATTACAGATATCTACTCTCTTCAAAAGGCAGGAGATTTGAGTGAAAGGTGAAGAACACGATATATGTTTTCATTGTTCGTTATTTCAAGCAGATGCATGTGTGGGTAGACTCCTTTGTTACTGTGACCCCAGTCCTTTAACCTGGGTTTGAGAGTCACTTTAGGATTGTTTATTCCAGGGTTTGAACCTGGTTGTTAATTTGCCTTTCAAAAGAATAGCATTTAGACCTTAAGTCATTGAGTAATTAAAGGTAGAGCATCAGATGTGAACAGGAGAACTCAAAGAATCAGGAAGGCTTTCCCATATAATACTACTTAGTGATAAGTGATTTAACACTTCATTTGCCCTGGAACATTTTCTGGTACTCTCAGAAATTACAAATAACATTAAACTCCTACTGACAACTTTAATGGTTGCGGATCTTTAGGGAAGTCAAAAGTCACGTCTGTTTGTGGGGCCTGCATGCAGTCTGCATCAGATAACTGAATTTTGTGGGACTGCATTGAGAATCAGCTCTTGGCTATCTGCATGTAGGTGAACCTTCAACAGCAGACTGATTTTTGTTGTCCTCGGCTTGCATGAAAGTTGAAGAAGTCTGCCCTGAACGGATCAGCTCCTCTGGGAGGCAACAATTCATTGCTCAGTTAGCAGCAGCTGTATGAAGCAAAAATCTTGTGGTTTCATTATTTGCTAAATAATACTGATGTTCCTGTGAATTTTAGTATCTAGCAATGCCGTACCTTGAGTATGAAAAGTAGAAAATTAATAGGTGACTCTTCATATTTCAGATTTATTCACGCCCAGTCGTTCCAGTAGTTATTTCCCTTCTGTGTCTGCTGTCAGCTCAGCTACAACGGACAGCAGCAGCCATTCTTCTCAGGTGAGAGAGGTTCTCAGTGTTTAAAACAGCCTCATCTCAGGCATTTATGCTCTGTGAAGACTCTCGGCCATGAACCACATCCTTCTCAGAAGGAGTTCAGGCAAGAGTTTCAGGGGTTATGTCTGAGTCTGTAATATTTTTCTTTTCTGGCAGTCTCCTGTCCTGCCGTCGGGTTCGTTGCCCGACACACTTCCAGCAGAGAACATCAGTGACGGACTGATTCCTTCCTCAGTACCTGCACCTGATGTTGGCACTGACCAGTGTTCCAGCATTAGAAATGAGGGATCTTTCATCCAGCCAGCGGACTTCACTCCCGACTCGTCTCTCAGCGGGCCACAAACTTTTATGCCAGTGTTTCAGACACCCTTGCCACTGCTTCAACCTGCAACACAACAGCACCAGTCCCCGTTGCCTGCAGTGCCTCTGAATTCTAACTTAAGCTCTCCACCAGCTGCGTTTGCTGCACCAGAAACCCAGAAGTTTGGCCTCGGTGAATCTACAGTTATCACCCACACTGCTTCTGCTACGTTGACCCACAATGCCCCTGCCACCACCTTCAGCCAGAGCCAGAACCTCGTCCTGGCCACGCAGCAGCCAGCTGCAGGAGTGCCTTGTAACCTGGCTTTCCAGACGACTGTCCTGCAGGGGCAGCCCCGGCCCCAGGTGCAGTCCCAACTGACATTTGCACTCCCCAAAGCTGTTTCTCTGGTCAGTGCTGGGACAAGGCCCAAACAGTCACAAAAAGTAGTGTCTGCTCCGAAGCCTGAAACAGTGTCCTTATTGTTAAAGAATGCCTTCATCACCCCAGGTGAGAAGCACTGGTGGGGTGATGTTTTTGTTTCCTGAGTGGGACTAGCAGGAGGCAGAGACCTTCTTGCTTTTCTTGGTTTACATAATAAGTAAAAATTATAGCTTCCTGAGGATGTCCAAGGAACCCCCGAGTCCACTGGTGTGTGGCTACACTGTTCAATGGGATGCTCTGAACTGCTGTGAGGAATGGAAGCAGTTTGGTTGTGAGTGTGTAAAGCTGGCCTGCGAAAGGGTAAAATTTGTGCCAGGCTCTATAGATGCCTGAGCACGTGGGGTGACTAGAGCTCTGTGCTCCTGCTCCATGGAAACCTTAGTTTTGATGTTTAATGCTGTTCTGATTCGCTCTGCCCCTCAGAGCGTTCAACCACAGCAGAGCAGGAGATGCTAGGGAGATGGTGGGGGATGGAGAATGGTAGATCTGTCCCTGTCACTGCCTCATCTGGTTGCCCTGGACAAGTCACTATGCTCGTGCGTCGTCACGCTCTGTAATACCAGGGTACTGGTGTGCATCCTTTGGTCATGCTTTGGATGCATTCTGATGTTCATCTTGGGTGATTCTGAAGCTCTTTGAGACAGAGTAGAGTGTTGGCTAGGGAACAGCTGTCGAAGCGGACCGCAGTATTGATCCAGATGGAAGTGTGGGAGAGTGCCTCTCATCCACCATCAGTGCTCCCTAGCAGGACCAGGGTGGTGAATCAGTCCTTCCAGTGGAGGACTAAGAGCAGGCAGGGGGAGCTGGAGATCTTTGTCTCAAGCAGTCTATAAGCTCTTGATGCTGTCAGGAGCATGTGGGTTTCAGTTCAGGGTACGAGTGCCAAACTGATGTGCTGGGGCCTCCACTATGGGTGTGAATTTGGAGCCGTTGGCACTGCACAAGGCTCAGAATAGCAAGCGTGAGCAGGGTGAGTTTTGCTTGTGGTGGTTCTTGTGGGAAAGCTCAAGGCTATAGCAGGACAGGCAGTACGCTTTTTCTTGGGATTACTGCATGCTGGTTTTAGACTTGTGCTGGCTGGGGGCCAAGTGACTTCAGCCACCTGAAATGCACAGCAATAATCCAAGAAAAACCCTGCCTGGAGGAGTATTGTTAAATAGGCTTTACTAAGGAGTAGTGTGTCTGCCAGGGCCTAGCATTGTGGTTACCCACCAAAAAACAAAAAAAACAAATCACTGTTCAGGAATAGAGCAGACCCAAGGATCTAATTCTAGCATGTCGCTGGAAGCAAGTTGGTCCATGATTAATAGCACTAGGGTGTTAAGGCAGTGTGTCTGTCTATAGTACGTTGTAAAGCAAGAGTCCATGTACCTTCAGCAGTTGAGACATGCATTTCTCACGTAGTAAAGCATTGTAGGCAGCTCTCATTTTCAGAAAGCCTTTGCTTCTAGCTTCTAGTTTTTCTTGGGTTGTTCCTCACTGTATCACTTTCCCAGTACTTCATCAGTTACTTCTGGACCATCACAACAAATGGCTTTGCTTCTCATCTAGCAAAACCCCAGCATTGTTGCTGTTTTTCATTCCTGGTGGTGGCATGTGTTCAGGGATCACAGTGTTCCTAAACTACTGGGACACCAAGCTCAGGTCAAATCCAGTAAAGACTGGAGCCTTATTTTTGGCAACAGAATAAACATCAGTACTTGTAACTAAGGCATTTATGCCTGTCACTTATGTTCAGGACAAATAGTCTCATGACTATGAAACAAATTGTATTATAACCTGTGTTAGAAAGGGATATGTAACACTTACTGCCCTGTGATATAAGGACTCAAAAATTTGCACAGATTGTCTCATCGGGTGCAAGACTTCACATGGGAAAACTCTGCTATCAGCACTTCAGAATAAATGTTCTGATTTTGAGAGGAAAGTCTGCAAAAGATGAATGTGTAGGACAGAAACATGAAAAAAATCTAAAGGGGCTTCTAAATAGATGCTGGTTGTTACAGTTACCCAAATGTGGAAGTCAGAAGTACCAAGTTTGTGCAGCAACGTTACTGCACTGGTAAGAGTAGGCTCTTAGCTCAATAGCGGAGTCATGAGTCCAGCTGACCATTAGTGAATAGTGGAAGGGCTGTGATTCCAGCTTTGTGTGTGGGAATGCTCAGACAAAGAATGAGCTCCCTGTATCAGCGTGACAGTGCTCTCTGCCAGATATACCCACACAAGGGCTGGCACAAGGTTTGGGCAATCCACAGGCCTTTCTAATAAAGGCTAGTACAGAAGCTTTAGTTGGTTCAGAACACAGTTGTTAGTCACAGATGATGCAGTAGGGGAGAGGACATTGGATATCCTGTACTGTCTCCCTGTTCTGCTGTGTGTCCCCTTCAATATCCTGACGCTAAAAATGCAGAGGAGTAAGTTGGCTGTGACTGAGCTATGGTGACACTTCCTATACATTGTGACTTTATTAGTACTGTTAAGAAATACTAGTTGTTTAGCTTAAGTAAGTTTCAAATAGAATTAACTGCTCAGAATCAATCATTTAGCATTAGAATCAGGTGTTACAGCATAATGTAGTGCGATTTGGTATACTGTTTGCTTAGCATTACTCACTTAGCGGGAGTAGCTGGGTTTGCTGGAGCTTTAGGCCGCAAGCTGTGAACTTTCACATAGATGTGCTGAACTTCTACCTAGTTAAGCAAAAGAGGGCCTCCAGAGCCAGCGCAAAACAGAGGATAAGGAGGCTACAACCGTCAGCAGAATCTGCAACTCGACAAGATAAGAACAGTTAACAGCCTGCCTGGGGATAGAAGGAATCCAATAAGGTGTTAGAAGATCTCAGACCAGAAATCACCATTGGACCGAAAGGCACATGAGGGGATGGGTGCAGAGATTGTAAGAGTATAACTGCCCAGGGATTTCTTTGTTCAGGGTCCCTCTTTGGAGGTACCCAGCTCAAGCTGTTCCTGCTGCTGTACCGCTCAAATTATTATTATTTTGTTATGGAATCTGTCACCTGAGACTCTGCTGCAGGAAGCCTAGGGTCTGAACTGCGGGGGTAATACTGCCCAAATGAATGTGTGAGTGTGTGTCAAGGAGTCGGTTGGGGCACCCGTCAGTTCTTGGAACCGCCCTCTGTGAAGGGACTCAGGTCCTAGCAGTGAAGTCTCAGGCGGTGTAAAAGTGATTCCCCGAGTCTGAACTGGACGCCTGGACGGTCCAAATTACCTTAACAGTACAAAGGAGAGCTGAAGCCAATGCAGGCTGTAATGGAACGGAGTAAGTTTGGTTTAGTTTTCTCAAAAAGCATACATAATCTGTGTCTTTGCGTGATTCCTCCCTTAGTAACGGTATAGGATGGTTAACCATGTTCTCTCTAAAGTCTGAGCAAGAACAATGTCAGCATTAGTGCCATATCAGTAACTGTACATCTGTGTTGGTTAAATTGAGACCTTGACAGATTTGTGTTAGATTAGAATACTGTAGTGGTGAAAAAAAAACACTTTAGAGCAAGGATCCTGATTCCTGCCATGGGGGCAAGCCTCCTGTACAGACTTTTTGGGAGAATTTCTTGTAACTTTATGGAGACAATTCTGCTATTCACAGTTATCTCTACCTGTCTAACACTGCAGAACTTGTGATTCTTTAGCCTATTTTCTGGGATTTTGGTGCTGATTCCCAGTCGCGTTTGATTGTCTTGTGCTTGTGTGTCGTGTAAAGCAGCTGTAAAACCAGATAGTGAGAGAAGCTTGTGGAGTGAAGTGGGGAGGAAGAGAATGTAATATATATACAAGGAAGCATGAAGTTTTGAATATGCATCCTTCAGTTGGTTTGCCATTGACCCTTTCTGGGTCAGCAGAGCAAGCCTGAGATCCAAGAAGTATGGATGTGAGGGGAGAGGTGAAGGTGATTCTCCTGTGAAACTCAGCTCTGATAAAGACAGTTGCACCTCCCTGATTTACTAGGTTCCTCTGTAAATTCAGCTTGAAACACTGACAGTGATGCTAGAAGCCTTCGAAATAACTGGTGTGTTAGTCCTTTGTACTGCATTCATGGGATTGAGGTTATCAGAAAAGTGGTGGCACTTTGAATTGCAATGAAACATAGGTGCCCATTAATCCATTCCCCTGTTCAATGACAAGTTATTTCGTACAAAATATTCGTACAAAAATCTCCAGCTTTTTTTTTTTTGTCTCATTAACTATTCTAACTTGTGTTCTTCAGCTGCCTTTCAGGGACAGTCCAGAGCTGTGATTGTAACTCCAGCATCTTTAAAAAGAGAGGGGATTTTGACGCCAGCCACGTCTCAGTCTAATGTTGCAATGGCACCAGCTGGAATTGTCAGAGTAAGGAGAAGAAAAAAAATACATTTGTTTTTTAGGCCTGTTATTTGCAAGTAGTTAGAGCTGTAATGTGGTCAGGAGGGTAACTAGTCCACTAAATCTCACCTGTTACCCAGCATATGCATTTGTGCATTCAGCATTATGTTTGCTTATTTTTAATTTAGCTACTCTATGGACCTGGAAGCACTATCTAGTCTTCCCAGGGTCTCTCATAAAACAGTAAGATTACAAAAAGCATGTAAACACAGTACTGTGAGTGGGGATGATTTGTGCTTTTTATTAATCATGCAGAAGCTAGAAGGAACCCAGGATGCTCACCTCTCTATTTGCGTATTGAAAAGCATGGCTTGAGTGTTACATGAATGGGTTTCTCAGTATGTTGTATGCAGGAAGATGGAAATAGTTTTTAGTATATTATGTGGTTGATGTGTTGTAATACTGCTTTAAGTCACAAAAGGATACTGGTCTCCTGCCAGAAGTCTGACTTCAGTGCCTGCCAATTCCTTGTATATTAGCCCTTGTTTCATGTCATCAGATTGTTAATCATGTATTAATTTGCTACTTTTAGTGAAAGGCAAGGTAACAAATATCTCTCTTTCTTTCTCTCCCCTCCCTTTCTCCTTTCTTTCATCCCTTCTCTCCCTCTGCCCCCATCTCCCCCTTCCTGCTCTCTTTTTCTTTCTCTCTGTTTTTTTTCTGTGCTATTTCTATGCTGTTCCCAGGCTCCCGGGGTGACGGAGTTCCGTAGTAACATTCTGGTTGGTCCAGCACAGCGAGCACCAAGTAGTCAACAAACCCAGTCCACAGTCTCACATCTCTTCTCTCCTAGTGTAGTCCAGGATGGGTTGGTGAAAGGAGAGAAAATCCCTTCCCACAGTAGCAGTTCACAAGTTCCCTCACCTACACCTAGTAAGTTAGAAAGCTCTCCTTCTTTTTGAAGGAGAAGCTTTTTTGGCCCTTCCCTTGCAGCTTCAGTTGCATCCAGTTATTTACCATTTTTGTCTTAAACTACTGTGCGGCATTCCCACAAACTGTGATTTTGTGCTTCTTGTAAGTGGCTCCTTTCTAAGAGGAGGTACTGTCATAGTCACCGAGAAATTAAACCTGTTTGAAAGGCATCTGTGTAGAAGGTGCTGAATAGGTTTGTTGTTCAGTGTCATAACTATAATTTTGATGGGAGGATCTCAGACACAGTCCTTGTGTAGGTAAGTGCAAAGACTCCTTTTGCATGTGTGTTGATAGAGGTATCTGGGCTAGTTTGAGAGACATACGCTGGTTTTGCTGGTAAATGGCTTGTAAAGCCATTAGAGCTTCAAATGGGGGAGTCTAGCACGTCGATGGAACTGCAGCCTACGTGTTCAACATGCCTTTGCTGAAATGTACATGTGCAAAAGTATTGTATATCGCTGTTGAGGATGTATTAGCCTTGTGCCATGAAATACTAAGCTTTCCCAGCAGTCTTGATGTTTTCTAGCATGTGGTTGCTGCATCAATGAATATAATTTGGTTGCCGACTGCATTTCAGGTCAATTCTGAATAGCAGCTTCTCTGCAGTTACATTTTTGAAAGTTGTTTGTTAATGTGACTTACCTTTCTTCCTTTATGAAGGCCGAGAATGTCAGAATTCAGGCCAAGCTTCCCCCTGCGCCTCTGAGCAGAGCCCAAGTCCACAGTCTCCCCAGAACAGCTGCTCAGGAAAACCTGCTGCTGATCCTAATATGGCTGCATTTAAGGTGTGTGTCCTTTCCTCTGAGGTGCTTTTCTTCTCTGCCTTCGTAGCCACCTTTCTACCCTGATGTCTGAGCATGGGCTAGAGAGTAAGTTGTGCTTCAGGAACTGTGGAGTGTTTGTGCCTTAGGTTTAGCTTGTGCTGTATCTGTGCTGCTCTGTTCAATTTTATATGTCAGAATTTAATAATCTGCTCTGCTCCTCAGGGATGTGTCACCAGAGGGGCCAGGCTTAACTGTACCTCTGCAGGTCCTTGTGGTCATGTCAGGGGTTCGTGCTGTGGCTCACAGGAGTGTTATGACAGGTCTCAGTTTACTTGGTCAAAGCTTTCAGGCTTAGGTTTCTAGACCATGGCTTTTTGCCATTGTTCTGTTGGGGCTCTTCAGTCTGCAGGGCTCTGGCCATCGCTGGAGGGGGAGTTCTTGACAGTGATGCTATGCTGCTCCACAGAGAAGCAGCTCCACAGACTCTGCAAGTTACAGCTGTAAAACACTTCGAGAATTATTGGGGTAAGAACTCGGTGGTCTAGAGACAGCATCTGAGAGCTCACTGTACCTCATACACAAGGTGACCTCGTCAGAACACTTTCTGTGATGGTATGAGAAACTTATCCACAAAAAACAACCAGTGCAGGACAATCACTGTAACCCTCTCATTCATTCTGTTGTGAAAGGGAGTGTTACTTAAACGTTTTGCAAGTGCCAACCCTCTTTCTTTCTCTGTATACCCTGTGAGCTGATGTCAGCTTGGTAACTACCAGGGCAGAAAGGTGAGTTTAAACACTTGCAGCCTGTGGTTGCACTGAAGTCTGAGGGTCTGTTGCAGAGGAGAATCAGAACTGCCCCTTGCTGAACATGTTGCAAGGTACTCCTAAAAGTCTGCGGTTATTTGCTTGGCATAAGTGCTCACAATCAGTAGTTACAGCCTGTTCTTGCTGCTAGAGAGCAAGTTAGAGGGACAAATTATTAGGACTGGCTTATGGTGGGAAAGTGGCCGCTAGAGGGAGGAGTGTTCTTAAAAGTAAAGACGCTGCGACGAGATAGGCTTTATAGCCATTTAAACTTTTGTCAGGAATTGCTTTGCATGTGTACTGTTAGTAACTCTTTTGTAAGACAGGAGAGAAACAGTGATGTTTGCCAGTCTCTAGAAGTACATTCTTTTGCTCCTCTGCATTGTTATTTGGACTAAACAGTTCTGTATTGCTATATAACACTGTTTTTTCAGTTTGGCAAAGCATAGAGGGCACTGGAAATCTCAGCTCTGCTCTTGAACCTGCATTTTCTGTGTTTTTTGGTCAACCACTTCACTGCTTTCTTACATTGTTTTCCTCCATTATAAAATGGGCTGATGGTGAGCTACTACCAGAAAGCCTAGCTCTGCCTAGAGTGCATTCCCAAAGTGCCAACTCCTTATTTTATTTCAAGAATTTGGTGGAAACACCTTCTAAGTTTGTAATGCTACAAAGGAAGATGCTAATTCCTGACAAAGCCTTTATCCTGAGGGTAGGCCAGAATTGTGGATTCTTTTTTCTTTTTTATTTTTGTCAGACTGCGTGTTGGGTCAGTAGACATTGTGTATATATTAGGAATAAATGATATGGACTTAAGTTTTAAACTTAAAGTCTTCAACAAGATCCTAGCTAATTACATGCCTCCAAAATTGGAATTTGACTTCAGAAAAGGGAATTGTGTAGCAGTCTTAAATAGGAATCTTTACTTTTAGAAAGAAAACCCACAAGGTCTGGAATTTAATTTAATACACTGGACACTTCTTTTTAATAGCTTAAATCATTGTTTGAAAATTTATAGTCTTGTGGCTTTGCCTGGGAGGACTGTGAATGCCTCAGTTCCACAAAAATGGCACTGAATTTGAATAGCTGAAATAGAGCAGTAGAACGGTAAAGGAGAACAGCGTAGACTGAGCTAATTTTATTTATGCAGAATCGAAGAATGAAGCATATTTCAGAACAAAAACGAAGATTTAATATCAAGAATGGTTTCAGTACTCTGAACAGCTTGGTTTCGGCCAACTCCAAGTTGGTAAGTAACTTGGCAGCACTGACAGCTTTGTATGGAATACAAGAGTGAGCCATTCTAAAAAGACTTGTTAATGAATTTGATCTCTTTGCTGTTGACCAAGAAAAGATACTTGAACTGAGGGACTTGGAAAGGGAAGGGTGATAAATCTATGGCTTATATTCGACAGAGTGTGTGAAAGTGCTTCATCTTTTAGACACTTGTTCTGATGCAGCTTCAGACGTTGAACGAGTGTCGTCTGATCAGATGCTGCATCTTTAAATCCAAAGGGGAGAGAAGAAAAACTGATCTGTGCAATCCTTGCTCGTGGGACCACAGTAATGAAGATTTTTGTCATGTTTGCAGCATAAGATGACTTTGTGTTCTCTGTTATGTTACCTTTCTTCTGACATACTGGCTTTTTATACCCATTCTGGCTGGGTTCTGGTCCCCAGAGCTGGACTTGAAAAAGCTATGGTCCAGCCAGTATTGTGAGCTTATTCTGCCTGAACCGTGAGCCAGCCAGAAGCCAGGCGGATGCTGTTGGTACAGTGCTGGGCCTGGCTTAATATACCTTGGGCTCAGCACAGCTTGTTAGCTTAGGCTTCGTGCCGTGCTAACCACAGCTTGCTGCCTTTGGTCGGCTGAGAGCATGGCAGAGCAACCTTGTGTGCCTGCAAATGGCAGAGCAGCCTTGTGTGCCTGCAAATACTGTTGAATCATGTCAGTGAGCCAAAGGGAAAACAAAAAAGCCTGGTGAAATTTCTGAAACTTCCTACACCAATGAGATCTCTACCTCCCAGGAGGAGTCAGGAGCCTCACCGGTTCAGATGACTTTGAAAATCCCTCTAGGACTCCACATCTAGTATCACCCAGCTGCCTCTAAGACTTTGGCCCTGTGCTCACAGCCTTGCAGATATCTCAGGGCTTTTTTTATTACCCTGTCACCTGTCTTTTGTGCATAGATTTACGGAGAAAAAAATATTCCCAACTGACTTCTCATTGTCAAATGACTTTGTCCAAATTAAGAACATACTCTGGCTACACTAGTTAACTTAGTTCACTAAATCGAAATCAAAATAACAGAGACACAGACTTGTCTGCACAACAAAATTCTAAATGTCCTTTAAATACCAGTACCTTTTGAAACATGGAAAATGTGGAAGTTTATTGTGCGGCATGTTGATTTGTTTACATAATTTCTGTAGTTTTATATATTTAGGCCATAAGTTGTCAGAATTTCACATCCTGGTTTGAATAGCCTATTTGAAAGGTAATCAGTTTGGAAAACTCAGCTTTAGTAAAATGTCTGATTATTTTATTTCTCAAGTACAGATTTTTAATTTGTTCCTCAAAACTGAAGAGTATTTTTAAAAAAGACCTGTGACATTGTTTCTTTGGTGATAGCTACACCATGTTACATTCTGTTTAATAACTTCTGGTTTCCCAAACTAATCTATATTGTCAACTTCAAACAGTGCTTCTAACAGCACTATGAACCTATCAGCAGATGTAGCACATCCTTCAGTACTTAAGTAAGAATTGTTAAATATTTTTAAGAGGATAGATAATGAAGTAAAACTAATTATGAAAATACTTCTTTCAGCAAAGTAGCAAAACTGCAATTTGTGGAAGAAAACAACTACTGCAACCACATTTCTCTGTACCTAGTGTGCAAACAACAGTCAGAGAAATGAGTTTAGTATTGTCTTAAGTGTTTTGCTCTTCCTATCTGTGTGCTTTTGCACACAGTGAAGGAAACCTAAGAAAAGGTGCTGAAGTGCTTTTCTGGGTGTTATGGCAGGTTAGGGGCAAACTCTTCATCTGTCTAGCTTTGTTCCAGAAAGTGAGCTGTATGTTTGTGTTTGGTCTAGATCAGCCATGCAATCACGCTCCAGAAAACAGTAGAATATATCGCTAAACTGCAGCAGGAAAGAACACAGATGCAAGAGGAAACCAAGCGCCTTCGGGAAGAAATCGAGGAGCTAAACGCTGCCATCATGTGAGATGTGGGGAGCTTTCTGTAACGAAGCAGAGCAGCTTGAATGTTGCTTTGGCTAACAACAGGGAATGTTTGCCTCAGATTTCATGCCAATCAACAGATGGGTACTGAACAGAAGTAGAGTTGCTACCAACTTCCAAACAAAAAGCATAGTTGCTGTGGGATGGGCATTGGTAGCAATCCTTGTGGATTTTCAGCAAGCTCTGAGCATGAATGCACAACAGTGGCAGCATCAGAAAAGATGCATCGGGTCAGAATAATTCTGAGAAGCAGACGGTGATGATGCTTTTTTAAAGCTTTGCTCACTGGGCGATCAGTCAGTCTTACTCTTCATGATGGCTTTGCTGCAGTTTTCTTTCCAAATGCAATCGATTTTTGTAGGAAAATATGATTGAGTACATGAGACACAGGACTTGGAATCAAGGAGCTTGCCACTGGCTGAACATAACTCTGATAAGTCACTTCACCTTCCTGGTGCCTCGGTTTCCTCTGTGGGTTTACGATAGTTACGTATTATTGCAAAGCGTGTTGAGAACCCCAGTGTTTTTTCTTCCATCTACAGAAATGTGAGCCTTGGGCATTATGTGAAACTTATCAGCAAATCAAAATCTTTTTATTTTTCTTTAAAAGTATGATAACGTCCGTTTGGTTTTATTTTAAATTGATCTGTTTCTTAAGAATCTCTGTAACTTTTGCTTCTGTAACAATGCTCAGGAGTAACTCTGTAAATTTGTCCTTGACTCCTCATGCGCCTTTTTCTAATTGGATGCCAAAGCCTACTTTGTTCTGTGTTATACTTTGTTTTCAGTTTTGTTGCTTGTAATAAGGAGTGTGCAGCAGCTTGAGAAATCGCTTTGCTGCATTAATATAGACAAAACTGGTGGGAAAACATGTATTCCTGGCTATAACAATTACATTGACGGGGGGGTCATGCACTAGGAAGCCACCTTGGTCAGGGATAGTGGGATACGTGCTTTTCTCTTGGCTATAATTTAGCCTGGAAGAGAAGTGTGTCCTTTCTGGTGGGGGTTCTGACCTCAGAACATCTTCTTTTCAGTTCTTGTCAACAGCAGCTCCCTGCTACTGGCGTTCCCATAACATGGCAAAGACTTGACCACATGAGGAACATGTTTGATGAGTATGTGAGAAGCAGGACCCTGCAGAACTGGAAGTTTTGGATTGTATCCTTTTATATCAACCTGCTGACCTTGAGGTTTGGTACTAATATGTTTAGAGCCAAGAACTGTGATGTTAAGCCAAGTTATTTAAATAACCTACATCCTCAGTTTTCATCCACATCTGTATGCGGCTACGAATCCTTGCCTTGTAGGCTGTCATGAGGCAGAACTTAAAGTATGGAGGGTAACTTGAAAGTAAAATGTAACAAAGGCAAGGTTTTCTTGATGGGTTGTTACACTGCAAGAAATATGTGGTGCTTGGTGATAGAGTTTAGGGGTGTATTTGGCAGAGTAGGGTTGGTGGTTGGACTTGATCTCAAAGGTCCTTTCCAACCTGAATGATTCTATGACTGCTTCTGTAACTGTAGCTCTAGTAGTCTTTTGGAAAAACTGAGCAGAGAATAACAAAGATCTTGGGGGGAAGAAAAAATAATTACAATCAATTACTGAATCTGCTGCAATGGCAGTTTTAAAAACTTGCACGTTTCCTTTTCTCCTTTTTTCTTTTTTTAGTTTTCTGTTTGTCTTTCGTTACAACAGTGAATCAACTTAGTTTCTCTTTGCTTCTCCAATGCTAGCAGCTGTGCTTGTAAGCGATTGATAATGCAGGCGGTAGAAAGACACTAACTAGTTTGGATCAAACATTATTAGCTTGAATGAGTTCAAGGATGTTAGTAATTAGCAATGAGCAGCGGCGTTAACCTTCCCTTTTCCGATAAACTTCATGTGTTCATACAGCTGTTTATTTGCACTTTGTCTTTTGTGTGCCTGTGTTCTGTGCTGGTTATTTCCCTCTGACTTTGTGGATAATGTGAGTGTATATGTGCATGATTGTGCATGCATGAAGTACATAATTTTCAATATTTTGATATGTAAAAATGCTTTCTTTGGTGTTTTCTGGTTTATGTTGGTGCTAGAAAGAGACTCTTCCTTTTAGCATCCTTTTAGGAAGAAAGTCTTAGTGAAATCTCACGCAATCTCTGATAACTTAGAGCTGGTACAACTGTGGAACCTCTGGGTTCTACACTACTTTTAACTCTGGAACCATTTCAAGTGAATTACAAAAATAGAGGTCTTTAATATAAGAAAGGAAATGGTTATTTAAAGACAATCCTACACATATTTGCTGATTGGGTAGTGTGTTTGTTTTATGCCGCTCCAAGATGTTGAATAGCTTCAGAATTTGGAAGTGAGACTCTTCTTGAAAGTGGCAGAGGTTATCAGGGTTGAAGGTGCAATTTTGGGTAGCTGGGTTTCTTTGGCTTTCTCTTTGGGGAAAGAGAAGTTTGATAGGCAAAGTAATGTTCCTAAACTTCCCTTTACAAGTCAGGATGTAACTGTGATGGAACAGTTCTTCTAACAGCTGGATCGAATCCTTAACACATGCTGACATATTTCAGAATGTCTTGCAGTAAAAGCTGACAAGGTCCAGGGGTGAGTGCTAATAATAACACAAAAAATCTCCTCCTCATGAAATGACTGAGGAAGAGAGAAGGGCAGTTTCATTACAAATATGAAAATACTGTAGTTTCTGCTGCATATAGGAGGGAAATGAGTAATCTGGTCTTGGGCTACTAGAGATAACCCAAGAATAGAATACTCTTGAATATTAGAATATCGATAGAATAATACCAGTGTTGTTCTTCCAGTTACTCTGTAAAAGCCCAAAAGTCTACACAGGCATGCAAATCCCCTCGAGTATGCCAGGCAATTGTTAGACGTGTCTTGATTGTCAGCCACAGTGAGAAAGATGGGGGTGCATGAGAATGCTGAGATTGGTTTGGGTCACATTCTCACATACTGCTGACTGTAGTCAGAAAATCCCATCTGGACTAACGTGGTAAACCCCCAGCTTCTGAGCCTTCAGATACCTGATTTTTATCACCCACCCAGCTTCTGAAATAAATGTACCTGTAAGCTGGAATCTACTTTGTGAATTATCATGGTGACGTTACAACAAGCTGTTTCGGGTTTGAGTATGGTGGCCATTCCAGGAAGGCTCATCTGAAAGCCTGGGAGCTGAGACGAACTGAGGCTTGTGGTGGTGCTCTGTACATTGTAATACGCTACAGACTAAGAATTCTGCCTGCCCCTTTGCTGCCAGGGAGATTATTGCCAACTCCAGGCCCATCCCTCCAAGCTGTGACGGTAGAGAGCCAAGAGAAAAGCCTGACAGTCCTCAGCTTACTACTGTTCTGGTCCACATAGATGCAGATCAGCCAGCCTGGTCATTGGTGTGGGAATCCTTGCCATGCTGTTGATAATATCTGAGAATGTGCTTATGTACTTTGAGGTCTTTGTTTAGCTGCAGTAGCAGAGAACTTGAGCATTTGCTGAAAAATCTGGCTGAATACGTGCAGTGTTGTCCTGTGCTGGACTCTTTGTTACCAGGCAAGATTCATGCAGGTACCCCACCTTGGATGCATCTGTGGTGGTGTAGCTACACTAAAGCTTCCATATCCTTTTGCTATGAAAGCATCAGCGTAACATGAAAAAGGTGGCAATTAAGAAATTGAACGAATTACATGTATTTAGAAGTTTTAGATACTCATGCACTTGCAACAGTGCCACAGTTGGTTTGTAGGAGATCAGGTGAGTTGTATAGGAATTTAACAAAAAATAATGAGCATCACTAGGAGCTGAGGGTCAATTTTTTTCTTCCCTTCGTCTTAGTGTTACAGATTACTTTTTGAAATGTTGCAATCCCTCTAATAGTTGAAGACCATTTAGAAGTCCATTGTTTTCTCTGCAGACTGAGCTGTAGTGGCCTTTCCCATAGAATGTTTTGAACTCCTCCTTTGTTGTCTCCCTTAACCTTTGATGATTTGCAGTTCAGCATTATTATTAAGCCATTGTTTGAGTCCTTCAACGGGATGGTTTCCACAACAAGCTTTAAGGACCTGAATCAAACCGCAATGGCCTGGTTGGATCAGCACTGTCCTCTTCCTGTTCTGAGGCCAAGTAAGTGAAGTTCTATCCAGCAGTTGTCCCAGGTCATAGGAAGTGAGACCAGGTATAATACCATTTCTGGAAAGTCAGAGGATGACAAAGAAAGCACGTGATGCTGAATATGACTTCTAGTTCCTTTTTATTATCTCTGTGGAAAAATAAGAACCCCTTTTGTGGTTGTCTGTGAAGACACTTGGTTACATGCTTAACACTGAACAAAAACCCCCCAAACAACAAATTGCTGAATGTAGACACCAGAATTTAAACAGTCTCAAGCTGCATTTAAATATCAAATACTGCACTCTAGTTGGAGTACGTTTGGCAGTGTGATTTACCTCATTGTGAAGGAAGACTTCTGAGATTTGTATGCAGCTTTGGAATGACTTTCTGTTTGACTGTGATTGTTTGATCCTTTCCCCCTTGCAATTCAGCAGATATTTACATTTACAGTTGTAATTGCCAAGTGGTACTCTCTTTTGTAGAAGAAATAGTTTGTTGGGTTTGTTGTTTTTTTGTTTGGGGTTTTGGTGTTGGTGGTTTGTTGTTTTTTTTTTTTTTCAAAAAAGTCCCAGATCTCTACTCCTTGTTCCCTGGGCACAGTTCCTGCACATCTGTTTCTCGGTGTCGCTGTGTGTGGAGGTGTGCATGTTTTGCAGAAGTATTTCCATAACTCTGTCATGGGTAACAGCCTCGCAGTACCTGCACGCTGTCCTGCATGGATCTGTTTTGCAGTCAGGCTAATGACTTCTCTTGATACTTTTCTGACTCTTTTTTTTTTTTTTTTTTTTTTTTTTTTTATAGTGGTGCTGAACACCCTCCGGCATCTAAGTACAACCACCTCAGTTCTGTCAGACCCATCGCGCCTGCCGGAGCAAGCCGCTGAGGCAGTTATCAAGATGAACAAAACAGATGGCGAAACCTAACAACCAAAGACAATGAGGTGCTTGTACAAGGGGTGGAGACCCTGCCAGTCCAGCGGCCTGGCGAGTCTCCTTTCAGTTGGTGCACTTTAGAAAGAATTCACTCCATCACCCGAGACATTGTTCAGGGCACCTGGCTCTGCCTTCAGAATATGTGGAAGTACGATGCAACGTTGTTGTAACGTTTTGATTCCTCTTCAGTGCTGTGCTGTACTCCATTAAGTGAGAAAACACCAAGCTCAGGTAAATTTAGCAGGTTTGAGTCCTGCAGGCAGCAATATATCTCCATCAATGCAGCATGCAGCTATATGCAGCAAACGTATTTCTATGAAACAGCTTCAAGTACTAAGTTCTCTGAAGTGTAAATTTTGTACACCAAGGAATGTTCTCTTCAAGGGGAAATATACTTTTGATTTCATGAAACAAAATGTGCTTTTTATTTCATTTTCTGGTATTCAGTTCCATTTGTTTTACTTGAATAGTGAAAACTGTTAAACAGGATCATACTAAAAACCAAAGGAGAAGAAAAATCCGTCAATTATGTCAACTTGTGGCAAAAATACTAGAATGAAGATCTCAGGCTGTTTTGTGTATTTTTATTTTAACGAGTGTATCATTGCATATGATCAGTTTCAAGACATGCTTTATTTTCTAGCAAGTAGCTGATTTTTATTATTTTTCCTGATATAGTCATTGCAAACGAGTAGCAGGTTGTGCAGTAAGCGCAAGAAAGCAGTTTTACGTGGCGTAGATTCTGCAGTTAGGATAGATACACAAATTTCATACCATTTAGTCTGTGAACTATTTTCTTGCACTGTGCAGAGTTCAGCTGCCTTCCTCATAAAACACACACATATAAAGCACATCCACAGATAAATGTAGTAGGGCTTCAGAGACAAGAATTGAGTTTGTAATATTAAGAAATTGGGTTTTTTGTTATCTCAGAAACTGTATCGGGCCACATGGACTTGTAGTCTGTTCTTTGCTTCTTTGGCTTTTTTTCTTGTTCTTTTTCCCTTCTGTCTGAAAAACCTGAGGGGCTTAGCTAAATTTGGTTGATATAGGAAGGTTATGTTCAACATGAATTATAAAACATACAAAAATATGTTTAAAGCCCAAATACTGCGTAACATTTTTTTTGGTGACAGTCTCAGCACGTACTGTGCTCTGCTGCAGATAAACTTAGTCTCATTACAGCAGTGATAGCCTGTCCATCCTGAGACAGCACTGAGAGATTCATTCTGGAATGATCCTACGACCCTTGTCATTCTACTAGTTACTTGATTCTGACTCTTAAGAGCTATGCAAACTGTGGGTAATGTTTCCCTGGTACCTCACCTGAGTAGGTTTCTTCCAGTTTCAAAAGCAGGCTGCCTGGAGGTGATCAGCAGGCTATCACAGTGCTAGAAAGAGGAGCAGCTAAAACATTTGGGCATTGCACGTGCTGAAGTGAGGTCAGTCTGTTCGCTTTTGGGGGATGTAGTTTTTCTCAGCATTGTCCCTGACCTTCTCCACTTGGTGGGCCAAGGTTTAAAAAGAAACAAGAGGCTTGGGGAGTGGGACATAGCACGAGGAGTATTTTTCTTTCTTCTTTGTCCTGAGATTTTGTAGCTAATGGCTTTCATTGCAGAGTTCACTTACGTGTGAGCAGGACTGTAGCCAGAAGAAAGCATGAAATGTTACCCGCAGGGCCCTCTCCCTGAGCAGAGGTACAGTGAGTTGAGAAACTGGGGGCTGAAGGGGACTGCTGGGGAGGAAGGGAACCTAAGGGGAAGACAAAATGGCAAGTACCGACATGCTTTTCTGTAGCTGTGCAGACAAATAAGGAGATGCTTTTTTTTATTATTTTATTTTTTACAGTAGATCTGACATATTTGAAGTTTGTGGCACATGTGAAAACCTGTGTCCCTGTGGCAGAACCAACAAAAATCCAGGCATCAGCTAAGGAATGGTTTGTTGAAATAGTGTATAGAGGTTGTCATAGTAATTAAATAGTGAGTAGATTTTCAGGGGGGATCAGTATCTAGGTCTGTCGTACATAACACTGTAATCAATTAAGCAGTATTCCTTAGGATGCACCTGGGTAAAAAGAGTTGAGTGAGTGTAAATTCTTTTTTAAGTCGGTGCTTTAAATCCTCTCATTTTTATCATTGATTGTGAACTTGGTTCCAGTAAAGTCATTTAACACTGTGATTAGCTGGGGAGCGTCCCTCAAATTCTTTCTTGACTGGCCAATCTCACTGAGATGGATAGATATCTACATGCGTATTTGCATGTTAAAAATAGGTATCCGGTTTTCTAGAAAGAAATCACTAGGCAAATTGTCCAAGAACAGACCCACTTGTGTTTTTGCTGTACTTTTCAGATGAACAGATTCCGTAATGCCTCCCCTGCAGTGTGGTCTCTTACTTGTCAGGCAGTGGCTGTGCTTGATTTTTACCATTACTTAGTATCAATGACATTAGGGTTTTGTCTTGGCAAGCAAAGCGTGCTACAAGCGTACTTCGAAGCCCAGGGAAGTCTGACGACTTCCAAGCTCAAACCCTAACATCTCAGATCTCACTGTATGGATCAGAAGCTGAAAGAGACCTTAGAGGAATAGGAAGGGATAGTGTGACTGAACTGCTAAAAGTTTTCTCCATTAGCAGTTTTTGTCTGGATGTGGATGGAAAAACCATCACGCCCATTGCACCGTGAGCTGGTTACGTTTAGAGGGAAGTGCTTATTTTGATAACTTGTGGTGGAGAAACAAGCTCATGGCACTATTACAAGACTGCAAATCTTAACACAGTAAAGAAAAAAAAAAAAAATTGAAAGATTGCTTACTTAGGCAAGAGTGTAGGAGGGAGGGAAGGAAAAGTGAAAAGATACTTTCCATGTAGTGCAGTTACCAGAAATGATGTAGCTGCTCTTTGAAGCAGTGAATCAATGTATTTTTGTCACCCTATTATTGCAAGTTAGAATTCTTTTCTTCTATCAGACGACTTTGTGAGGGGTGTGATTTCACTTCATTTGGAAACACAGCAGGGAAAAGCTGGTTTATGTCTCGCATCTGCACCGCAGAACTACTGAGGATTGGTGTGAAAAGAGATTGACCACATATGTATTAATTCCTGCATAGTTTTCCACTTTGGTTTGTATGTGAACTCCTTAATCTGTCTTACCTGTTGAGGAGTCTAAATACTATATTTAAAAAAAAAAAAGAAAAGTTTGGTAACGCATTCTCCCCTAATTTAAGCGGTCTAATTTCCTCAGTGTCACCAAAGTATACTTAAGGAAGCAAAACACACAGTGCCTGTAGTTTACACAGAATTACAGATGATGCACATCTGTCATTCAGTGAGTTGGTGCTAAACTTAACACGGGGATTCTTTAAAAATGAATACAAATCATATTTGGTCAAATCCAACATATTTCATTCAGTAAATGAGTGGCTGGTTAAAATATTTGTGGCCTGTGATATGCACAAAGTCAAACTGAGATTGCCTAGCGGTTCCTTCTGACCCTGAATTCCGTTAATCAGTATATTGTAGATGGCACTCACCCCAAACACAAGTTCTGGAGAACCTGTGCATTATCTGCTGTAGTTATTAGGCTTGTTTGATGCTCCAGGTTAACAGGAGGAAGAAGTGGTGAAAGTCTAGGAACAAACTAGAATTGGAGGAATTAATTAGTAGTAAGAATGTGAAACTAGTGCTTGTTTCATCTAGACAGTCCGATCTCTGCACAGAACCAAAGGCTGGTACTTGATTAATACCATTTGACCTGATTGGCATGTTCTTCTAGGCCCCTCGGGAAGCCTTCCTTGAAGGGAGGCTTACTAGAATGTTTCCACCTGTGCCTTAGATCTTGGCGTCCTGTATGCGTTTGATTTATCGTGAGTCATACATTCTTCCCCCTAATACAATGCTATGTGGAAAATTCAGTGAATTGACAAAGTGGGGCTTCCCTGGGTTTTAAGAGGATTTTATCTACGTGGCATTACTGTGTCCCTTTGAAACTGAGATTGTGAAAAA